ACTTTTTTATTTTTTTTCCCTATTTTTTCGACAGTATGTCGACGTTACCCTTATCTTGGAGGTAGAGAAATTGATTCCGATATGTAGCTCAAGCTTAAAATGACATGATTGTATGGTTGACTTCTAGATGCATCGTCCGATAAAGTGAGGATTGTGTATGTCGATGTTATCCTTATCTTGGAGGTAGAGAAACTGGTTCTGATAAATAGCTCAAGCTTAAAATGATATGATTGTATTGTTGACTTCTAGATGCATCATCCAATAAAGCTGTCGACGACTTCTTTTTATTTTTTTCCCTATTTTTCGACAATATGTCGACGTTACCCTTATCTTGGAAGTAGAGAAACTGATTCCGATATATAACTCAAGCTTAAAATGACATGATTGTATTGTTGACTTCTAGATGCATCGTCCAATAAAGTGAGGAGTGGGGAGGGGATTGTGTATGTCGATGTTACCCTTATTACGGGAGGTAGAGAAACTGATTTCGCTTTTCCCTTGGCTTAAAGAAAATAATAGGAATAAAGAAATCAAAGGCCAAATCCTAAATAATATGAAAAAAGAATAGTAACTACAACAAAAAAATAAGATGAAAATAGTAATAGAAATCGAAGAAACAAGTAAAACGTCGAAAAGTAGCGGGGGAAATAACAATCGTCGACAGCAGGGTTCGAACCTGCGCGGGCGAAGCCCAACAGATTTCAAGTCTGTCTCCTTAACCACTCGGACATATCGACATTTTGTTGCATAAATTTATTTATCATAAAATTAACCTTTTAATACTATACTATAAAAATAATATTGTAGGAAAATATTTGTCATTGTCAACATGTAATGTTTGAACTTAATCAACCAATTTAACCAAATATAGAAGAAAGGTGATGAACATGAGTCTTCACGTAATTGGTAAAATTGTTGTCATGTGATCAGGAAGTCACTAGTTTGAGTTATCAATAGTTGTTTGCAGAAATGGGTTGCTTACTGTATCCCGCGCATAGCTGAAGCTTAGTGAATTAGGTTTTGGTAAATGGAGAAAGTCGTGGAAAAGAGTTTTGCTTGATACTAATGATTCCGGATTCTCCCGCCTTTCTAAGGCAACTAATTATACTTATTTAATCCATCCTTAATGGTAGTCGCTACTAATAGTTAGTACTTCATTACTAAGATCCGAAATTAGATTTATTGTGTTTATTAGAAATAGACAATAGAGTGATTGTACTTAGCCAAAATTATTTACGTAATACACGAGTAATCTTCATGAGGCCCATATATTGTTTTTAGGACATAACACATCCAACAAACTTTACTAAGATCTTAGTCGAAGGTTGAGATGTTTATAACGAGGAACTTTTATCTCACGGAGATTGTGAATATTGTTCCAATTGAACACCTTTCATGCTCGTGAAAAGAGATGAATGTAGCTTTTTTACTATGAACTTCTCTAAATATAGGTTTTTCGACATGAAATAGAAATATATTGATTCATATCAAAATTTGTGTTCATAATCTCAACATGCAATGAGTAAATATCGATAATCTTAAAAGTAACACCCAAATCCACCTCTCTACTAGTTGAACACCATCAAAACATCCACTAAATTAGACTGTAGAAATCGATTTTAATGGATGGATGCATCTAGAAGGTTGATTTAAGCTCGAGCTATACATATAACGTCAGGTTGGATCATACTAACCTATATATTATCTATTTATTGTATCAATGACGGAAACACCTTTCCATAACGATGCATTTAATAATAAGCTTTACGAAAAACATCGATTATGTAGGGGAAAAAATAAAAAAGTCGTCGACAGCAGGGTTCGAACCTGCGCGGGCGAAGCCCAACAGATTTCAAGTCTGTCTCCTTAACCACTCGGACATATCGACCTGTTGAAGCCTATTTTTGTATTTTCATTTAATATTTATATCCTTTAGAAATAAATTTCCGCAAGCGCGATTTGAGGAGTGGTGTGTATGTACACGTATATTATCATTAACTTGTGGAGATGAAGAGATTATTTCCGAAAGATCATCGTCTCAAAAAGAAAAATTGAAGCAATCATATATATATATATATATATATATATTAATATATTAAGTAAAGAAGCCAAGATAAATAATATGAAAAGCATTACATTTCTTAAAAAAATAAAAATTTCATTTCTTACGGTCCCGACTTATCATTTACATCAACTACAATTGACGTAATTCTCGTTACAAAAGCCTTTTACATGATATATACAATTAAATAATGATTTCATAACTCTTAAACATTATACGTAGACTTCAAGGGTGTACGCAAAAAAACTTTAATAAGCAATTTGATATCAACATTTAAAGAAGCAAAAGAATGGACAGTTTACTATGAAAGGAAAAAAAAATGAAATGATCAAGAAATAGCTTTTTAAAGTAAAACATTTTCGTGAAAACTATTTACTATGAAAGGAAAATATTTTTTCATAATGTATATTTTGAAA